GGGCTTTCAGGTAAGATTTCACTTGAGCTAAATTAGAAAAAAATACCATTTTGTTAATTCTGTGACACTTCAAGGTAACGTTACAAGCACTCGGTGTGCTACAGCACAGGTGAAGAGACTGGGGCTCATTTCCAACTAACGGTAACTTGTTTAGCTAACGGTCACGATAACTTAGCGATTTTTTATATTATTGTTAGCGCCTAAATGTATTTCCAGCAATTTCTCGGAGGAAAAATGTTAATAAAGCGAAGTCCCAACTGCTTTTCCACCGCGTTTTTCACTGTTGTAGGCTAACGTTACCAGAAAGAATCCGTTTCTACGGTGAGCTATTTTTTCTGTTGCTTTTCAACTACAAAACTGAGTTTAAATTCATTATTGAATAATAATTGTTTGAGACTGTAAATTATTAATGTAATTGTTTAACTCTAAATGTTTATTTGTGTAAATGCTGTGAGTGCGTTGAGCTCTGCGCGAGCTGGGAGCAGAATTGCCATGGAAACGTCTCTCGCTGCTGTTTTCACTGCTTTCAGGTTTCAAGTTTAGTCCCTAAAATCACACAAATATTACATACAAACGTTCCTGACATGTTTCTTACTTGTAATTGACATGTTTCTACTGAATATTTATTTTATAGAAATGGTTTAGCCTCTTCGAAAAAGTCCGTTAGCATCTCAACCGTTTTCAGACGAGGTAGGCTAACTCTGTAGATTGAGCTCTTGTTTATGAAACTTTGGGCTTTTAATCAAATCTTCATGTGTATGAGATGTTTTGATAGATCTGTAAAGGTTTTGCTGGTGATTTGTCAATGGGTTATTGGAAATAGGACTTAAATATGTACTTAACCTAAACATATACACTGTACTGTGACCCGATGACGTCACTTACATGGAGAGTATAATCGGCTGAAAACAAGTTCAATATTGATAAATTGTTCTGTGATTTCAGGAGGACAGAAAGAAACTCTACAGAACAGATGGGAAGCTCCAAGATTTCAACATTTCTGAAGGAGCTGCTGACTGAGAAGTAGAAAATACAGGTGAACTGAACTAGAAGCTCATGAAATAACTTAATATGCATTTTTCCACAATATATTTTACCTATATCCCCATGCACCTGTTATTTCCTTTGGCAAAATGTGTGTGTGTGTGTGTGTATATATATATCTATCAGGGCTCCAGACTGCGACCGAATAGTTGCATTTTGTGACCATTTTTTCCTGCTGATGTGACTAAATGTTTTTAGAGGTTGC